AGCACCACTTCCCTAGGAAGTTTGTTCCAGCTCCTAGCCACCCTAACTGTGAAGTAGTTCTTGCGGATGTCTAATCTAAATCTACTCTCTAATAATTTGTGTCCATTGTTCCTTGTCATGCCAGGGGGCGCTAGGGGAAACAGTGTCTCCCCTAAACCCTTCTGGTCCCCCCTAGTGAGTTTATAGACAGTCACCGGGTCCCCCCTCAGCCTTCTCTTGTGAAGGCTGAACAGGTTTAGGTCCTGCAGTCTTTCAATGTAGTGTCTGCCCTGTAGTCCCCAGATCATGTGGGTGGCCCTCCTCTGGACCCTCTCAATGTTGTCCACATCCCTCCTGAAATGGGGCGCACAGAACTGGACGCAGTACTCCAGCTGTGGCCTGACCAGCGTCACATAGAGGGGGAGAATCACCTCCCTGGCTCTACTTGAGATGCACCTGTGGATGCACGACAAGGTCCGGTTAGCCCTGCCACCTATGACCTCGCATCGTCGGCCCATGTTCATCTTGGAGTCAATAATGACTCCAAGATTCCTGTCAGACCAACCTGGTTGTCTTCTACGACTAGGTCACAAAATCCTTGGACGCAGGAGTCGCAGTGGATATAGCTCTTTTGGACTTTAGGAAGGCCTTCGACACTGTCTCACCCCATTCGCATTAAAAAAATGAGGCAACTGTAGCATCGATGCCTACACAGTCAGATGGGTCACAAATTGGCTGGAGGGCCGCACCCAGACAGTGGTGGTGGACAGGTCATTTTCGACCTGGAGGGATGTGGGCAGTGGTGTCCCCCAGGGCTTGGTCCTTGGGCCTGCACTGTTTAACATCTTCATCAGTGACTTGGATGAGGGGGTGAAAAGCACCCTGTTCAAATTCGCGGATGACACTAAGATGTGGGAAGAGATGAGTACGCTAGAAGGGAGGGACAGGCTACAACTAGATCTGAACAGGTTACAGGGGTAGGTGGATGAGAAAAGGGTGGGATTCAATACTGACAAGTGCAAGGTACTGCAGCTAGGGAGGAAGAACCAGCAGCATACCTATAGGCTGGGGAACTCCCTTCTCACCTGCACAGAGGCAGAGAAGGATCTTGGAATCACTGTTGATTCCAAGATGAACATGGGCCGCCAATGCAAGGATGCGGTCAGTAAGGCTAACTGCACCTTGTTATGCATCCACAGATGTATCATGAGCAGGTCCAAGGCAGTGATCTTCCCCCTCTATGTGACATTGGTCAGGCCACAGTTGGAGTACTGCATCCAGTTCTGGGCGCCGCACTTCAGGAGGGATGTAGACAGCATTGAGAGGGTCCAAAGCAGGGCCACTCTCATGGTCGGGGGCAGCAGGGCAGGCCCTATGAGGAAAGGCTACGGGACCTGAACCTGTTCAGCCTCCACAAGATAAGGCTGAGAAGGGATATGATGGCCATCTATAAACTTATTGGGGGGACCAGTGGGGAACGGGTGAGCCCCTGTTCCCCCAAGCACTACCAGGAGTAATGAGGAATAACAGCCACAAGTTGACTGAGAGTAGGTTCAGGCTAGACATCAGGAAGCACTACTTCACAGTCAGGGCAGCTAGGATCTGGAACCAACTTCCAAGGGAAGTGGTGCTCGTTCCTACCCTGGGGGTCTTCAAAAGGAGGCTAGATAGACACCTTGCTGGGGTTGCTTGACCCCAGCATTCTTTCCTGCCCATGGCAGGGGGTCGGACTTGATCTGCTCAGGTCCCTTCTGACCCTACCAACTATGAGACTATGAAACAACTATGAAACTATGAAGTGACTCTCCACCAAGTCAGTGTCAACAGTTGGTGGTCTGGTGCCTGCTAAATTGAATTTATTGTTTGCAAGCAGGAGTGTGAGTTCTTCCTGCTTGTTCCCCATGCTCCTAGCATTTATATAGAGGCAGTTGAGCCCTCCAAATGGTGCCTTTGGTGTCCCCCCGTTCTGATGCCCAATATTCAAGCCTTAGTATTTACCTGGGATGTTCTGCTGCATGTCTCATAGACTGTAGGTCTTAGATTTTCTCCATCTCCTGCATCCCTGTCCCCCATCAAACCTAGTTTAACTACCAATCAACGACCGATTGTTCTATCCATCACACTGTAGGATATACTTGTAGGGACACACTCATTCCCTTCTGTTCAAGCTGTTCAAATTTATAAAATAATTAAATTGTCATTGATCCAATGCTAGCATGAGCCTATCACTTAGTGGGTAGATCATGCACCTAGCAGGAGAGTGCTGTGCATTTTGTTGTCTGCCCCACTCTGTAACATTCTTCTAGTCCTTCCAGTCAACTGAGTTGAAGTTAACCCCTTATTCACAAGATCATACATCTCTCCTGCCCATTGTCGTATGGAATATTCAGTGCAATTCAGTTTAATCAGTTCTGTCTGTTTAATCAGTTGCTCTCAAATCAGGTTATGATTGTGAAATAATATGTGACTAAAGTTCATGACTTAAGTATGCAGTCTTCCTTGATTTTCCCCTCTTTAGGTAACAGAAAATTGGTATTGACATAAGTAATTCCCCAGGATTAATTCTAGCCTATTCATTTTTCATTTGCTTTTATCCAGTTCCCACTGTTTCATTAGGGCAGCCAAACTATATTAGAAGCAAACCAAGAAACCAGATTTCACCCATATAGAAAAGAGGTTATGCCTAAAGAGTCACTATCCTCAATTTTACTTCTTTTCTTAGAAAAGCTTTGTTTCAACTTCAACACCAGTTGCAGTGCGTCTGCGTTTTTTTTACAAATAGAATAATATAACTTTTACCTCTTACACCAGACAGAGTAAGGAGAGGAAAGGGATAATCATTCTTGACATTTTGAACCTTACCACTTTCTATGCCTCTCTTATGTATTTCTTTGTGTCTGAAAATCTTCACCTTTTCTAGGATAAATAAATTTATGGTTTCCCACATCAGAAGTAAGTATTGAAAGCTCATGACCTGGGTAAATGGTCTACCTATAAAAAGATACTTGTTGTTTCCATCTCTTAAATGTTTATATTATACGCTGTAGGTGTATTAATACTACTTCCACAAAGAATAAGCTGCCAGAATCAAATAGCATTTCGTGTTTTTAATTTTTATTCTACTATTTTATATTGCTTAATTTTATTTATTGTTATGTATAATATATTATATTAAAATTTTGTTTAAATAAGTAGAATGTGTAATTTTATTATATGCTTTTGCCAATAGCCACAAATCATGCAATTTTATTATTATATATTATTTTACTATTAATGCTACTTTATCTTTTTAACAAAAGTTGCAAATAAACTACTACTATTATTTATATGATAGAAAGTTTGCTAAAATTGTAATGTAAACTAGTCTCTTGGAGCTGGTTAATAGAGGTGATGGAGAAAAAGACGTTTCAATTTGGGCATGTCAAAATACTTTGATTTGACAATGTTTATCAAAATGAAACATTTTGCTTACTTGATAGTGAATATTTAACAACTGTGACTACCTAAGCTGCCTCAGTGCTTCATAGGTTCTCATTTGTCATTGTCATCTTTTTGACTGTGCTTTCCAGACAGATTTCATCACCCAAGATGCATTCTTATTTGTTGATATCACCATTTAAACATGCAGATTTTTAACTAAGTATAATGTTTACACTTGATTTGGTACATGTTATTGCTTCCTAAGAGAGTACACTATAGGTACATTTATTTAAGTAATGATATAGCTGAATCTTTTCAGATTCTTATTAATTTTACAAGTATATATGTTAAAATAATATATTGATTATTTACTCAATATAGTCTTTAACATTTTGCTCATGATTTGTGTCAAGGAGATGCATTCACATAGCAGTATGAAACCACAGTGGATCATCCTAATGACATATATGACAGGGTCTCATGAATTAGAAATCAAGTCTCAATTCAGTAGCATAACAAAGGATGGGCAACCTGTGCACCGGCCCTGGGTGCCAACTTTGAGGGGGTGCAAGAATGACAGCTGCTGCCACTGCTGGCTCAGCCACTGCTACTACTCGTGATGCCCAGAACCTGATTGTTACATTTCTGTCCCAATGGCTGTGATTACTTTGCAAGTCTCTTATATCCGGGGCAAATCTCCTGGTTTCTTACAGGATCAGATCCCTAATACAGAGGCTAACTGATTTCCCTACCATACAGGAAGCCTATGGCAGGGACCTGAACCCACATCTCTCAAGATCTGTACTATTCTGAACTATCCTCCTTCCCTTTACATTTCTTTGTGACTGAGCCATCACAAGATCTTATGGTAGTTTCATGTGACACTATGGCCTATTAACTTAACCCCAAATGAAATGTTTCATTTTGATGTTCCTGCCAAAAAAATCCTATGAAAATTAATCTGTTAATACAGAACA